CATCCCCCTCATAAATTTCTGAAGATTTTAAAAGGACTTTATAGAGCTGAGAATAGACCCATTTTTTAGGAAGCAAATTACCACCCTCCTCAGTCAAGGGGATAGCAGTACCTATTGAAAAAGTTATCTCCTCCCCGTAAGATCGCAGCGTGGTAAGTAAAATCCCAAATTTTGCGTAACCTCTGAGGGATGTGTAAGCAAACTGGTGTAAGAGATCCATTATACATAGAGCATGTAGATCCACATCATTAATAGAAGGTTTAGGCTCGCGGAAGCTATGACTAGCTATGATTAACCATCTATGCGGATCCTGCACCCATGTCCTTTCTATACTAGCAAAGACGCGATTCAAGAACTTGTCAATATATGCGCTGTATGTACAGTATGCCCTCGTGCGTATGCTCTTACCTGTGGAAAACATTCTTTCTATGCTCTTACTAGTTCGTATGCTGTTACCTATGGAAAACATGGTTTGTATGCTGTTACTTGTTAAATACATTGGCTTTTTCTTTTCTTTAATAGTACGTGCTATATAAGGGGAGCTCGGACTTTCTCTTCATCATAGAAAGGAAATCCTCATATTTATTTATATGCAAACGACAACCATCGTTATTATTTTCATACTCTCCGCATACAAGACAAGTATAGGCATCGTAAGAGTTCAAAATAATCTGGATCTTATCATCCCATATTTTCCTCTTAGAAGAAGAAAGGCGTATGTCTTCTGGGATATTTTCTTCCAAATAATACAGTAATGAATCTCTTGGGATTACATGATCCATAAGAGAATCTGAGATTTCTCTATCTAGATTATCATAAATATGTTTCATGACATTCAAATAAATGAACTCATTTATGATTCTTAGAGGACGCCCCAGACTAATAATAGCATTATTATAAATACCAGCAATTTTTTTGCTATGATACGTGGAACTTATAAAGTTGTCGTGAACAGTATAGATAGGTGCTTTATAATAAAGCATCTGTTCTACCACTTTCATAGCAATATGTGCATCCTTCTGATGGATGAAGTTGACGAAGGATGAGATCTCTGTCTTCCTGCGTTCTCGTGTATCAGTAGCTACTCTCAGAGTTACTTTACGTCTTTTCTTATGCAATTTATCATAAACCCAGATATGGATTGGTTCCATCTTCATATAGTCTTGGATTGTTAGAATGTTCTCTACCTCATACAGTACTGGGCGATCACTAGCTGAGGCAACCCAGCCTATACTACGGATCAAACGGATAAAACATTCCATGTTATGAAACCTATCTTTCCAGAACTCAAAGCACAGTTTTGCAATCTGAAAGCACTCCTTCGGTGTCAGGAATCTAGAGAGACTCTCCTTTATATCGTGAGCTGTGCTCATAACCGTCTTCCCATAGATTACAGGCATAAAGATCGATTTCACTATCTTTCTATCGAGTACCTCGATAAGGGTTTCGGAGAGATTTCTATCTTCTACTTTTTTCACTATATAAATTTGCAGTTCATGTAGGATAGATATATAAATATCTTCTATTTCACCTTTAGGAGATTGAATTAGATTCGTCTTCCTCGCCATCCATTAATCCAGCAAGAAATAAGACATGATTTGATACGCATTGGCTGAAGCATCTTGGGTAATAGGTATGCGCATAATAGATTCTAAATTACAATAATAGACAGGTAGAAAACTAGATAAGAACTGAAAGGGATGTTTAGCCTTAACAGCATGCTTGATAAAACACTTCGCACTATCCGAATCCGATAGTATGAAATCTCTTCGGGAGACACAATCCTCCAGCATTAGTGCGGTGGTTTTGTCCTTAAACCAACTCAATGCACCCTTGTCAGACTTGAAGGACTGAAATTGGAAGCATGTAGCAACTACTGCAACCCTGTAGTCTAACTCTTGTGATTCCACAAATTGGATCAGGCTTTTAGAAAAATCACGCTCGTGGAAGTGTAAGACTCCACAACGGTAGATTCTACCCCGGAAATCCAGAAAGGCTGGTAAATAAAATGAATAACCTTCGTACGCTAACGGCAAGTCAAATATCATTTTCTCATAACGAGCACGCTGAATATCTATTTGGAATGTTTGTAACAACTCATTGAACGTAAAGTTCTCTTTTATATACGCATCGCTCATGTATAATGAACGAAGTTTTCCTGATACTTCCAGTATACTTATATATCCCACAAACTCAGGCACGAGCAATCCAAAGTCTTCAAAGTGACTTGTGTGTGTTATTAAATATAAAAGCCATTCTTTATTTATTTGAAAAGCCTGACTTTGCAGACAGTTCATTATCTCGCAGAGCTTCTTGGGATTATTAAGCTCTATATATAAATTCCGCGGGTTACTTGAACTTAAAAGCCTGTAACGATAATACATTTCACTTGTAGGGCTACTTAGGTAACCACCTGTTAGATCTGACAGACTTACTGCTTTTTCTGTAGTACATTTCCAGTCTAAGGGTGGGAACACCATTGGCAAGCTAAGCTTTATTGGTAATAATGAGATATCAAATTTGCAATACACAAATAGTGTTTTTTGAAGATAATACGATTTATTTTTATTCAAAATACGAGTTGATCCGCTACTATCTTCAGCTAACGCTATCAGGCCCCTTAAATCCATTAACTCAACTAAAGCTGCTCCAATAGGGTACTTTTTCGATAACCCGGATTTCTTCTTACCTTGTTCATCAACACTTTCCTCCTTATCCTCAAATACGTTCATACTCACAGCACCCATTAATTTATGCTTTATGATTGTCTTAGCATGGCAATGAGTATGACCCTCCAATTGCTCCACCAAGGATGCAACACGGATCATGCTATTAGCATCTGCCGAGGAAAATAGCACACAAAGCACATGAACTATCAGTGCCTCTAGCGTATATTGACCAAATAAACCCACCAAGAACTGATCTGACTCTCTGCTAAGCCTCGAGCGAAGAAAATCCTTCGCACTCTCTTTTTCAGGATCGATCAGTATCTTTAGAATGTCACTTGTTGAACTAAAGATATTTTGTTCATCGAACTGCATTGTCATATTTTCTATTCTTAACTGAAGATCATACAATTCCTTTGGATCAGCCACCACACGGTTTCCTTCACCTCTATGTGCCTTTCTGAACATATCTAGTTCAAAGATGACACCCTCATTATACCGTTTGTTCGCGCTCTTTTCAGAACAATCTTTATTAAAGACTTGACCCCTAGCATAAGTATAAAACTCGTTCCAGAAATTATAGAATTTCTCACGTTTAACCAGACAATCATCCTTTTTCGGGAAGACATGACTATGAATCCATTGCATCATAATAAATTATTCATTTTTCAATTAGAAGAGTAATACTCGGGATTTTCTCTCTGCTTATGCCGCTAGCTTTTCCTTGAAGCCCCCGTAGGAATGACCAACTTTATCGATAGGCTTCCCTTATACTTAAGGACTTGAATAATCTCGATTCCGTAGGACAGATTATCGATAGACTTAAAAACTCTTATACTTAACGAAAAATCTCGATTCTGTAGGATAGATTTTCGATTTCGTAGGACATAAGAGTATATGAGGTGCCTTTACCCATAGAAATACTAGACTCAACCCAGACCATGAGAGGAACAAGGCACAGAGCCATGTTTATTCGGCCTTGGGACAGGTATTATGGGATTTTACCCGACGAGGGCTGCCTTTACCCTGATCCAGTATTTCTCCCCTAGAAAATGGTTTAGGATAACCTCCAGGGGACAGACAGCGGTATTACTCTAAAGACCCAGGGAGGGCTAGGGTGACTTTTTTCTTTACTCAAAAGCCTGTTCAAGCCTTCTTTAATGGTTAGACTCTAGCCTCTAATAAAGATCGAGATAAGGGCATTTCTTTGAGAAAGTATAGGAGAAGCTTGATGCTTCAGATCCAACCCCGACAACTCAAACTTGTTTTTTGGCTAGCAAGAAATAGGCACTTGTTCTTACCTATCTAAACTCTATTTTGGCTTGCTATAAGATTAGTACTGGTTCTTACCATCAATCTCTTTCCTATCTAGAATGGTGGGTACATCAATTCTTGTTGATCACATTCATGGGGGAGAAGCACTGAAGGCTCTAGTCCGGGGGTTTCTTCTTCTTCGATTCAAGCAAGTCGACCATAAGGTGAATCAATGACCTGACTGAAGCCATTCCTAGCCACCATTACTTTCGAAAGAGTCTGTCTTTACTTTACCAGCTTCTCTAAGATATCAATCACTAAACTAAACAAAGTAGCAAAAATCATAAGAGAAGAAAAGTTCACAGAAGGTTGAGAAGTAGTACGCCCGGTTCACCAGGTTCTACCATTGTAGGGCCAAATCATAGTCAAAAGAAGAGTTTGATCCTGGCTCAGAAGGAACGCTAGCTATATGATTAACACATGCAAGTCGAACGTTGTTTTCGGGGAGTTGGGCAGAAGGAAAAGAGGCTCCTAGCTAAAGGTAGCTTGTCTCGCCCAGGAGGTGAGAAGAGTTGAGAACAAAGTGGCGAACGGGTGCATAACGCGTGGGAATCTGCCGAACAGTTCGGGCCAAATCCTGAAGAAAGCTAAAAAGTGTTGTTTGATGAGCCTGCGTAGTATTAGGTAGTTGGTCAGGTAAAGGCTGACCAAGCCAATGATGCTTAGCTGGTCTTTTCGAACGAAGGTCTTCGAGAACTCATATTGGACCGGGAATCAAAAAGGGACAAAAGTAAAGTATAAGCGCATATGGCATGAAAAGGAAATCCAATTTCGGTAAGACTTGGTCTGAATCGTAGTTCAGATTCAAGTCGGATAAGTGGGGGCGGCCGCGGAAGAATTAAATTATTGTTCCAGTTAAGCGCCAGACGGGCGTGCATTCCATTTTTAGTTCCCATAAGTCTTCTTATTTTTTTTTATCTTCTTTGCCTCCAAATGGGGGCGCACTCATTCTTTTTTGATTTTTTCTCTAGGGTGGCCGGCTTCCTCGGAGTGAAGGCCGTTTCAGTACTGTTTTTAAAAATGGGCTGCCCCGCAGCTCTGGCCTTCGTGATTGACTGTGCTTGCCGAGCACTCGTCACTCCGAAGGAAAACGCCTCCCTCGGGCATTGGGTGCTTCCCGGGCCTTCTCACCAGCCTCACGTGGCAGAAGAGGTTCCCCACCAAGAGGGCCTGCGGGACCATCCTCTAGCAACCCGAAGCGCTCCGCCAGTGGATCTGGAGGTTAAGCAGCCGCTTATGGGCGACCAACAGCGGCACGAAGAGCTTGCAAATCGACTCAATCACCACTTCCTTGGCAAAAGTGAACAAATAGGTAGCCTAGCCTATGACGATTTGTTGGATAAACAGATCCTCATAGAGGAAAAGCTCGAAATAGCGCTACTTAACGAGGGTTTTAGTAGAGACCGGATTTTAGCGAATCGCTATGAAATTAGAGAACTTATATTTTATAAAGAGGGAGTTCCACTCAAGGAAGAAACGTTGGGGATGCACTTAGCCCAGATCCAAAGCGATCCTTTCTCAAACATCCCATATCGTAAAATCCAGCGATCTATAGGGAATTTGGATCTGTTTTTTTTTCTAAGTAGAGGAATTCTACGGTTGAAAGGGATGGTGAGTGCCCTGGGATTCACAAACAGATGTGGAGTCGTAACAAGGTAGCCGTATCGAGGGCGCGGCTGGATTGAATCCTTTCATTTCAGGGGGGGAGCTCATGCTTGGTGGGTATTACCTTTCCTGGAGCCTCTTCTCACTCACACATCATATGATTGTGTGGTGGGCGGCATTGCGGGCCGACCCGAATCGGCGTGGAAACCATTGAAACTAGGCTATTCTCGGATATGCTGTTGTCATTGGGGATAGTACAGTTGCGAGAGAGTACGCACTGATCCTGCGCTGCTTACAAGTAAAGGTTTCCGAAAGGAAATCCCTACTTTCAGCACGCGGGGATCTTAATAGGATTGACAGGGGAAGGGTTATGGCTAAGGTTTCAGAATCCTCGCCATCTTTATTTATGCCTTACGCGCAGCATAAGTAGAGGTCACAAGATGATCTAAAGTCCAGATAAACCAAACCAGGAAACGCAAGCAATGGGGGAAATAACGACCTCTGGGGGCACGGAGTCGAGTGAGGCCAAATCTGAGAAAGCTGGAAAGCGCAGCAACCAGAGAACCATAAGTTGGAGTGCTGCAGCTCACAGAAAGAGACGTGGGAAGGGGCTTTCGGCCTGTGGACCCAGGCACCGATGCGTAGGCGGAATCCGGCTAGGGTGGAGACGACGAAAAGAGGGAAGGCTTAAATAAATAATTCGGTCTGGTATAGTAAGCCATTCTGACTTCCTTAAATAAAGAATAGTCAACATCGCGGAAGTAATGAACAGCGTGAAACCGCCCCCAGCACGAAGAGTGAGATCTTGCCTATGCAGTAGGATTCAAAGGAAAGTTATCCGAACAGTGAGACCCGGGAAGACTACTACTTCTGTATTAAAAAAAAAAGAGGCGTTTGAAGCATATTTTCAAGCAGGGATTGATAGGTAGAGGGCTCAAAGCGGGACAGAAGGGCTTACAGGGCCCTGGGCTAAAAAAAGTCAACAAATGGCTTTAAGCCAATCCCTTGCTGCTAACTAATGGCAGCCCCTTTATTGCTCCTTCCTAGGAACTCAGTAACGCGGCCAGTAAGTCAGCAGGTATTGAGGCAGGCAGATCTTTTTTTAAGTCGGTAAGGCAAGGAAGGCAGGTTTCAGAGCTCGGCGGACGAAGACTTCCAACGCATATAGGTGACTAACCGCCTGTTCTCTCGGAAAGTAGAATCGCAGATTGAGCCTGCTCCAGCCCCAGCTTCTATTCAACTGCGTCTTTGATGGCGCGGTTGTGTTGCTGCTGCGTAGTAGAAGGGTTGGGTTCTCTGGGGTTCAACAATGCGTCGGGCTGCTCGAAGGACTCCACGAAGAAAAAGCTGCGTAAATGATTAGCCCGATGAAATTGCTCTGTGAAAAAGGGGCCAGGGTTCCATGGGGTTCAACAATGCTATAGAAAGAAGGGAGAAGAGCAGGGTAAAGGTTCAGGGCGGTTACGATATTTGTGGCGGGAATGCGTGAGGGTCTGCAAGACAACGGGCACAAGGAGGCGACTGCCAATACTTCCGACTCTTATTCATAGAGATGACGAGTCTTATTTTCCTACTACTATAGGGAGGATATTTGGTTGCGCGAGACGATTCATTGCGCGAAGGGATTCTATCCTTCTTTTTTTCCGCGAAGACTTCGTTCCGGAGGACGGGCTATATTCCCTTTAATATTAGTCTAGCCCAGTCTAGGCCAACCATATGGCGATGCGGTAGACCTCCCAGAGATAGATACTTGATCTTAGAGGATTCACACGTTCAATGGTGGAAACTTAAGGAACCGGCTAAGAGTGACTAAACGGAAAAACCCTATTCATTCCATAGCCTCATCCGGTCGAGGCATTAAACAATCCATCCCAATCCTCTTTCCTTTGGTCTACTCTAATGATGTGCCCGTTCGTTGGTGGAATATCTCTTTATACCGACGATTTATATGGGGATTGCCAACGATAAGGAGATTTACCCTATGATGAGCTCAAAAGTGAATGAAGACAAGGGCGAGCACTGGTGCTACTGGCATGGGCCTCTACCCCTGTGTAGTCTCTGCCCGCCAATAAACCATTTGAATACCAGGAAAGATCAGATGCGCGGAATCGCAATTGGTTAAGGATCACTGAATTACCGCTCCGTGGGCTATTACTATTGGGATAACTGAATACTTGTATGCCTCTATCAATGTAGTAACCATCTTTCTATAATCTGAATGTGAAAGCGGAGTAGCTCGCCGAATCCAAAGTGTCTATCTCCGCCGCCAGACTGAACTATCTGATGGGAAGCCTAACGACTGGTTACGGTAGCGTAGCTAGGGCTATGAAAAGCAAGGCAGTCCCTAGACTGTGAGAAAGCCCTAACACCTAACCTTTTCCTTGAAGACCCTGTATTTTCGGACCAAGCAATCAAGCAACTTGTCTTGATTCTCCTAGTATCAAGTAGTAAGGGATCAAAACAAGGGAGGAAGAAGTAAAATGCCAGTCTCTTTGATAGGAGTAAGCTCGGAATTGAGGCCAAAAACCCTTTTTATAAAAACTATTTAGATTAGGAAAGGAAATAGTTTCTCCCAACGGTCTTAGAAGCGCTCTCCTTTGTTAGCGAGAATGCCCTATGCAGATGAGGAATTGCACAATGTGCTATCGAATCCGCTGTTACTGCCCGAGAAGGAACTGTTTGAAGGACAACTAATGCAAGCTGCTCGGGAGGTTTGGATTCATAGATGGGAAGAATCTGCTCTTCTCTTATCTTTGCGGGCCCGGAGGGAGCTGCTAAAGGAACTGCCATAGTTTATTTACGAGTAAAGGATCTAATAGTAGCAGGAATATGTCCAGAATCTGATGCTAGTTTATAAGTCCCTGCTTTGGCTGCCCCTTTCTGAATCTAAGAAGAGGTTGGTTGCATGTCTTAAGCCTGATTATGGATTAGATTAGGTTATGACTCTATAAGGGCTTACGACGAATAGGCTCTTAGATGGGGCATTACCGGAAAACTAACTATCAATTGAATAAGAAAAAGGGGAGACCCTATCTTTCTTCAGAGCAATCCCACTCTAAATCGACAGAGATAGATGGAAGAGGCCTACGTCTATTTTGACTTTTGACTGGCAGTGGAGAAACCGGAAAGTGCTCACCGGCGACAGATTGACACGTATGGGAATGGACTTTTCAGGTGCCCAATGTGCATGCAAGCGGGCAGAGGAAAGACACACGCATTTGTGTTTTTTAATGTCCAATTTCGTCCATGGAATTTCGGATCTAATAGCATGGATTGAAAGAGATTGGGTTCAAACGGGTAGGACACCAAAACTCAATTGGTTACTGAAAGAAAAACAAAAAATGATCACAGCTCAAATCTGGTGGTCTCGGAACTATGCGATATTTTAAGACAAACCAATCCATAGAGGGAGTCCGTACTGGTGCATTGATACAGCAGACCAAAATCCCTAAAATTCCGTGGAAGCGGTTCTGGAACAATTCAACCTGCAGCATAGAGTGAGTCGACAACCCAGAATGACAGAACCCAGATAGAAATAACTGTGCACAGTTACATTACGACGGTGCGAGCCGAGGAAACCCCGGGCGGGTCCTTCACTCGACTAACCAGCGATCCTTCTTCCTCGCCGTCTCCTTCGCCCTTTCCGTTTGGTTTGCAGCTCCGTCACCCGTGTTTCCCTGGAGCAGCGCTTCTTTCCGGTGCTCCGATGCTCTCTGCCTTGGTAGGGTTCCTCTTTAAGAAAAAATCGCATTAATGATCTGCCTTGCCTTATTTCCAGCTGTTGAATGGAGTAATCTGGGAAGGGATCTTTTGCCAATTCCAGTTAGTGGAGCGAAGCCTTCCAATATGGGGCATACGAGTCAGGGGGAGCTAATGCTTGTTGGGTATTACCATGGAAAGTAAGGATGTTTAATTTGGTGATCGTGATAGGGATGAAGATCTCGATTATTCAGATTATGATCTCGATCTAGTCGACTCTGTTTATTCAGTAGATCTGGCCGGTTGAACGCTTTCTAGCAGCACCAAAAGCTTGGGTAGTGGGATGGGGGTGAAACCTGTTCTGGCTCTTGGTTTATGAAATCCCGATTTGAAGACTAGGGCCCTTCTTCTCTTCTTCTTGTGAGCTAGTAGCAGTTTTATCAGTTTAGATAGTTAGGGAGTCTTCCATTGAAATGAAAGTTTAAAAAGGCAAGCTGGGGAAGACAAGTTAGCGCTCTCCTCTTCTGGCTAGTTAGTTTGAAAGCAGCAGTCCTTTACTTAGGCAAGCTAGCCAGTTAAGTTATATGAGTAATTGAGTAATAAAGGAAGAATTACACTCGAACAAATGTGAGAGGTTATGTAATAGGGTAGGCAGGAATTGTCATTTGAGTGCTTTACGAAGGGTCTTTTTAATTCCTTCAACAACTCAAGCAACGCTCATAGAGTCTTGTTGAGCAGCTGAATAGCCTTCTCCTATCTTAATTGAATAGTTTCCCCTTCGTAATATCTTTACTCAAAAGAAAAGAGCTCCCACCGCCGATTGTAGATTGAAGTGAGTACCTCCTCTTGTCGACTCTGAACGAATGCTAGCATGGTGCGGGGCAGTCGGATTCTATTCCCTCTCAGAGGCCATAAAATTAGAGTCCTCGGGGAAGCCTTCTCTATTCACTTCTTACCCGAAAAGAGGGAATCGAAGCACTATAGCTCCGCTCAAACGTCCCTTTATTCGGGGTTCACATGTGCTTTTCGATACTGTACGGGTGACTTAACACCAACCAAGTTCAAGTTTTTCAACCCTTAGCACTAATATGTACTAAGGCTAAGGAGAAAGAAAGTGATTTGTTGCATCTTTTCTTATCTTGAAAAAGTCTTAAAAAGAAGAGATTTCTCTGTTATGTTAAATAAACGAGTTTGCTTCTTTATTCTTAGTTTACTCTTAGTAGATTCATTGAATAACTTCTAGTCTTTTTCTATTCTATTTTTATATAAAAGAGTTCCAAGTACCATAGCATTGCTAGTTCAGACTAAGATTATAAAACCTTCAATATAGTTGAATCGTTAGATGAATGTTCCCGGTATTGACAATCTTTCATAGGAAGAGCTGTCATCTCTATCTTCCATCATCCATTCCCTGTAATCAGTCCTAGGATCCAAGGCACTAATGCTAAGGCTCAGATTCATACCCAGAAGAGACTAGACTGCTATTAAGCGGTTAAGGTAGAAGATCTCAAATCATTAGCTTCGGTGAACAAGATCAAATAGCTCCTCTTTCAGGTTATAAACTAGAACTTGCACGAGGTATCAAATGTATCAACACTTGATTTCACCAACAAATATGTATAGTTGTAGATTCCGCGAATCTTTTATGTTCTACCCAATAGGCCCCGCTTGCCCAAGCCCAAAGGCCAGTTTGAAGAAGGTCCGTGAAAAGTAAACGAAACTGCCGTGTTCTAAGGGCCGGGACAGGCTAGGCAATTAACCCCAGAGAACCAAGGAATGGAAGCAGAAGAAGCATTATAAGCTGACGGCTTTACTCATCCTTGGTTGCTGCCTCGTCGCCGAAGCGAGTAGAGAGAACATAAGAGTATATCACACTCACTTCATCTAAATCATTTTTTTAACAAAAAAATCTAAAATAAAGAAAGATTCCCTGCTGTCTATCTGTCCCGCCATAGGTTTTTCTAAGGCTCAAAGTCCAGAGTTCTTTGACGCTCATGGACGGTCTGTGAAGGGTCTGGGAGGTTACCAATACCGAGCCCCTTCCTGCCCGAGGCTGTTCCATACCCCGGAAAAATGAGTGGTACAGATTCCTTCCAATAGGAGAGGTTCTTAGTTCTCAACCACCACCGGTAGTAAATTCCTAGAGATAGAACCAGATCGTACAACTTTCACATTCAAGCAAAAGGAATGAGATTAACATCCCTACTTCTTTGGTTTAAAGTCTCTACTCGGGAAGTCAGGCGAAGGAAAAAGACCCTTTGGCTTGAGGTGGTGAGTAGAAAGGGGTCGATTATCTATCTATGACGCATCAAATCGACTGAGATCAAGAAATCCTGAGTAACGAGATCTATTCTTCACACGAATCAACGAACGACTCGTCAGATTCGAACTGACATAGGTTTTTGACCTATCTTCTACCAAAAAGGAGCCGCTTTGGTGACGCGGTTCGGGCGGGGGGGCCTGACATCCGCGGGTTCCATGTCAAGAGAGAAGGACGGGACGGGAGAGGCATTTTCGGGGACTAGCAGCTGTTCTAGATGTGGACACCTTTTAGGATTGTTTACATGTTTTGCGTGAGTGTCACTTTGCTAAATTGATCTGGAACATCTTTATTCCCACTGAGCATCAAAGTGCCTTCTACTCCTTGGCATTCACGGATTGGTTATGCAGCAATGCTTCTTGTAAAGATCTTAAGTTTGGTTTTGATTGCCAGTGGCGTACGACCTTATGTGCGATAGCATGGAATATTTGGGTTTGGAGGTGTCGAGCTGTTTTTGATGGAGACTTTATTCTCCCTCATGATCCTAACCGGAGGATTGCTAACGATGTTTAAATTGCTGTCTCTGCTTTCTATTCGAAGAAAACGGAGCCAAGTATGCAGGTAACCAAGTTTCTTGCTTGGGAATTTCCTTCCGTTCAAATAAAAAAAATAGGGATGGTGCTTCTAAGAGGAACAAAGACTTGCATGGTGCTGCCACGGGACATTCGTCGGGGTGCTGGTGGCCTTCCCCGAGACTGTTCAGGAACATCTTGATGTGGGTATACCTGAAAAATTCCTCAACCTTCGCCCAGAAATGAAAGAACTTAAAGGGTATATTGACCTTTCTAAACTAAATGCTAGATCTAACAATACAAGGGCAATGATCAGAAATGCCTCTAGGCAAAAATGCCGCTTCAGTAATAGCCTATCTTTTCTCTAGCCTGGAGCCGGCACTCCTAAACCTAAAGCAGTTAGCAAGCAGTTAACCATCTTTCTCAATATCCTCTACGCCTACTTCTCTTCCGAATCCAAGACTTGTTTCAAACTTTAAAGCAGTCAATCAAGCAGCACTTACCGCTATTCCATATATAGCATAGAGCTCTTACACAGCGCCTAATAGGCTAGCTGAACTATAAAGGCTGGATTTCCCCGATGGAGAGGCAACCAAAAGGCTGTGCTCAGTCTTTTCAGAATCGGATTGGACTGGAGAAAAGAAAGCAATTCATGCAGAATCGGACTGGAGAATGCGATTCATGCAGAATCGGATTGGACTGGAGAATGCCATTAATTGCTATATGAAGTGGAATAGCCAGATGCGAACTGGTGTTACCAGCACAGGATGCAAATAGGTTGCCCAGACGAGGTCTTTCATCCACTAGTACGAGGAAGGTTAAGGAGCTAGGTGCTTTAAGGCTAGCGGAAGGATGTTCTTCCCAAGAGTGGTACTCAGAAGAAGAAAAGGTTGTTGTTCCTGCAGCACTCATTGATACTGAAAAGTGGTCGTGAAAGGAGACTGCTTTTGCTTTGAATGCTTACCCAAGCTCTTGGACAGACTCGGCTGTGAACAAATCCTCTCTTAGAGAATCGACCGTTCACTCATGCTTTGGACGAGAGAAAGTCTGATTAGTCTTCCGCTTGAACGGTGATATCTATAATAAAGAATACCTGTCTCAAGGTAAACAGGAGTTCCCGGCTCAAGCTAAATGATACCGGCGCAAGGTAAGTAAATTCTTTAGTTTAGGGAAGGATCCCAAGTGCCATCGATTTAGCTCTTGGAAGAAGGGAAATTCAATTTTGAAGAGTGGGCATAAATAAGAGATCTTCTCTCTTTCCCGTGCTTTAGGAAGCGAGTGACTCCCGGTCTTATTTAAAGAGAGTGAAATGAGCCAGTAGCTCTGGGAAAGAAGGAAGAGAAAGGGAAGGAATCACTATAGTTACTCAAAAAAAAGGTTCGGAATCGAATCCGCTCAAGCTGTGAACAAAGAAGAAGCTCTTGCCACTGTCGGTCTAAGCGCAGTTGGAGGAAGGGGAGATGGGATGAGTGAGGGTTCAATTCTTTTCCGGAAAGAAAGGTAAGGTGCGGAGCGGCAATCAAGATGGCAAGGAAAGTAATTGATAGAAAGATTGCTACTAACGCTTCGCTAATGAGAGTTGGGAGTTGGCTTACGTTCCTCTGTTAAATAGCTCCGATTCTATCCGAATAAGGGAGAAATAGAAAGAACTGGGTAAGGCTGAACTCTTCTTTTCTGGTAGTTGTAATGCTAAAGTATATTTTTCCTCGGTAAGCATTATCCGTGAAATGACTCATTTCCATTACTGTTTTCACTCCAAAAGAAAGAGAAAGACTCGGGGAAGGGCGGACTGGCGGGAAGGGTGGTACTAAATTGAATTGAGTCCCGATATCCTTCGAAAGTACCTTTTGATAACCTTTTCTCATGCAGAACAGAGAAAGGTTAGTCAGACTGAGGGCGGAAAAAGAAGACGTTTTACTTTTTTTTTGTTTCATATGCTCTTGCGATGCGTACCTGATACAGAGAAATCTTTGCCGCAGCACGAAGCCGTAGTTCATCCAAAGACTACAATTCCATACGTGACAGACAGAATTCAGGAAAGCTTTAAAGGTAACAAGGTAGTTATGAAGTCAACAGAGATGCGCGGGTTCCATTCCCTCTGTCCGGAGGGCTTTCGCTTTATATAGAAGCCCCTCAGCACCCGTACAATCAAAAAAATGGAAATTGAATTCAGTGATTGAGATAGCGACAAGTTAAAGCTGAGAGGACGCACCCATTCCCGAAATCCACTTTAATTAAAGCCTTTTCGAAGGCGCGAAAGTTCGCATTTTATCTTTTCTTCAAGCTTTCGCTTGTATTTTCATAGACTAAGTTTAGTAATCACTCTCTAGTAAAGGCACTCGATTAGCTGGAAAAAGCGCTCTTCTTTCCATTTTATGTGATTTGAAGATAGATATAGATAGAACTCGATCGAACTAAATGCTTTTCGTCTTATCGTATATAAGAGAAAGGTTGCTTTTAGGAGTGACCTTTCTCGATTTCAACAAAACAAGCCGATGGTGATCTCACTTTCGAAAGAGAATAGAAAGCGTACTGACTCTGACTGCTATCTACGATGCGATCAGGGGGGAATAGCGCAAGGGCTTAAGTCATCGATTCAAATCCTATCTTTTTTTCGGTATGCCGCTCCGCGAGCAAGGAGCGAATGACAAAGATATATAATAAAATCATGGCTTCCTTTTTGGTTTCATTTTAAGTCCTTCTTATTTTTACTATTTTAGCAACTTTGCTAGAAGTAAAGCTTCTCAAGTGGTGTTTTCAATTCTTTTATTATTTAGTGTTCGATTTAGACTTAAACATCCACGATGATCTCCTGTTATTACTTGTCTTGGTTTTGGTTTTCGTCTCACGGATCTTGGTTCGCGCTTTATGGCATTTCCACTATAATAAGTGTAGGAATTCATGGGTACCTGGGATCACTTGGACCATTTCCACTCTGTGTTGTCTTCTTGACCTTTGCTCTGAGTGGTTGGTCGAACACGCAGAATGTGCAGGAGAGGAGGGTTCCTCAAATGCCCAACTCGATTTGGACTTAACTCTGCGTCCGCCGGGACCAACAGCAGAGGAAATAGAAAGGGAGCTTTCCTCTTTTCTTTCTTCCTTTGGAAATAGGGGAGTGACCTCAAGTGTACTCCAAAATACTAAGATTAAGCTACAATTGGATGTCGCGTCCCCCGCGAAGCTTTTGAAGATCCGGGAACTTCTGCGGGATCTCCAAAGCAGACCGGTTCCTGCTTTCCAAGCGAGAGATGCTTTATTGAAAGCTCTCGCCCGACGGGAGAGGGACCAGACGCGTGATCCATGAGGTTGGCCGCCCAGCGTCGGCTCTACGAACTAACAAGGGGTCGGTCGCGAGAGAGAGAAGGGGTGGTCCGGCGGGTAGGGGGGGCTCGTCAGGGGGAGCAAATCGATAAGTCCTTCGAAAGATAGGGCTTCCCGGAGAATTTGGTGTCTTTCTATTTGGAAACAAAGGACCATAAGTCTAATTAGACACTTCGTCTTTATTGTTCCACTAGCTAGGATAAAATTATAAGATGTCCCTTGCATTATTACAACCTTCTTTTTTGATGTCAAAGACCAGAAGCTACGCGAAAATTTTCATTGGATCTCGGTTGTTCTTAACAGCGATGGCTATTCATTTAAGTCTTCGGGTAGCACCACTAGACCTTCAACAAGGTGGAAATTCTCGTATTCCTTATGTACACGTTCCTGCGGCTCGGATGAGTATTCTTGTTTATATCGCTACCGGTATAAACACGTTCTTGTTCCTATTAACAAAACATCCCCTCTTTCTTCGCTCTTTCGGAACCGGTACAGAAATGGGTGCTTTTTCTACGTTGTTTACCTTAGTTACTGGGGGGTTTCGAGGAAGACCTATGTGGGGCACCTTTTGGGTGTGGGATGCTCGTTTAACCTCTGTATTAATCTCGTTCCTTATTTACATGGGTGCACTGCGTTTTCAAAAGCTTCCTATCGAACCGGCTCCTATTTCAATCCGTGCTGGACCGATCGATATACCAATAATCAAGTCTTCAGTCAACTGGTGGAATACATCGCATCAACCTGGGAGCATTAGCCGATATGGTACATCAATACATGTTCCTATGCCCATTCCAATCTTGTCTAACTTTGCTAACTCCCCCTTCTCAACCCGTATCTTGTTCGTTCTGGAAACACGTCTTCTTATTCCATCTTTTCTCGAATCTCCTTTAACGGAAGAAATAGAAGCTCAAGAAGGAATACCAAAACCTAGTTCACTCGCTGAGTCTTTTTGCATCCATGGCTGAATGGTTAAAGCGCCCAACCGGGCAAATTCGTAGGTTCGATTCCTGCTGGATGCACTTTTTACGTTCAGTTCAATCGCTGCTCACGGAATTGATACATATAGCTCGCCCTTATAGCTTATGGGGCACTTCACTCGCTCAACACTCGTTCAAAACATCCACTCTTTCTTCACTCGCTAGGGAAAGATAAAGGATAGATGACTTAAAATCCCGCTTAGAGATCGCAAAACTATAGTCAGAGTAGGAGTTCCCATCCGTCGAGGCCTCGTTTTACCCGCCCTTGGGACTGGAACTGATTGGTTGCTTGTTGTGACAGCCAAGGTCTGAACATTGTCCCACTTCCCTCATCGGGTTCCTCTCTGTTCATCATGGGGTTGTTGGGATAAAGGTGGGTTTGAGACGCGCGGGTACTCTTGATGCGAAAGGATATGGATCTAGAAGCCGAGATCAAAGCGTTAGTTCAAGATAAGAGCCCTTACGAACCAAGGCTTCTAAAGTTGCCGGAGGGTCCATCATCAAGAATGGCCTAAGATGGTCAGAAGCATTCCTAACAATGCTAGCCACAGCGGAATACTCCGGCAAAACGGGTCGCCATTTCGCGGAATCGAACGCCCTAAGAGGAAGATTTCATTTTCTTTCTGTTTCGTGGAACGAAGTTGATCCATGGTCATCGGGATGTCTATGTTGAAAGAGAACCTAACCTGAAGAGTCATTGGTTTTCCAGGTCGGAAAATGAAGTAAACAACTCAGGTGGACAAGAGGCGAACCACTCAGCTGATGAGTCAGCTATACTTTTTTAAAAATAGCCTAATGAGGAGACGATCATAACCTCTGAGCTCAAAGATGGAAAGCAGATTCCTTTTTTCAGGTTTTGCATAGCTTCCCAAGCGCCCGGCTTTCTTTTTGGGTTCCGAGAGGCAGAGTAGCTTCAGCATTAGGGTATGGGATAGAGTTCGAGTGAGGCATCAACCATAGATTGCGGAACTTTCGAGATGCTTCCTTGCGAAAGCCAACGGAGTCTGTACTGTAACTCAACCTTCTCATCCATGGAAGGATTCCTTATTCGATGATAAATGTCAATCGAGGGCACCCTCATTTCCAGAGAGAGAATCAGGCTGCACAGAAGGGGGAAAGCCCTCCTACTGAGCAAGATCATTAATTAATATTAATAAGGAAGCACTTAACTTAGGGCAGCCAGTCTCACTTCACACAGCACAGCGCCTTGCTATTTGCATTCATCCTTGTAACTTACCGAAGCGAGGATCTCATGCTATCATTGAACGGCTACCGAACCGCCATACTCAGGTAACCGGTCTAGGTTCCAAGTACATCAACACCCCATAGCTACTTAGGGCCGCAACGCAATAAGGCTTTTCGCTCTAGTTGGGCAATGCAAGGAGGCCTCTTTCGCCATTCTTTCTAAATGAGAAACTTTTATTAGTTCAGTTCGGTATAACATCGATGAGAGGATAATTTTTTAACAGAAGCATATGATTGCCCCTCAATCGCCAGGTGGCTCGCTCCAGGTGCATGAGTAGCTTTGCTGGCTCTTATAGCGGCCTCTTTCAGTGGTTCTTGCTTGCTCTTTAAAGCTGATCTGGTGCTGTCTCGTTCCTTCAGTTTGTTCTGATTCCGATGAAGGATACTATATTCCGCCTACACAACTACCTTGCTTGGTGGTTCAAAATGGAAGTCTAGGTATCTGCTTAAGTGGTCTGCTCGTACCGTTCCAAAAAGAGCTGCGCTGACAGGCGTATTTTAAAATGTGTTTCCGGGCTCACATATCTAAATTTCAGCGAGATAGGGTGCGGATAGGTGGAATGGAAATTCCACTCCAATCCCTTTAATGGATCCCCGAAGGAGACGGGTGCAAATGGAATTTCAATCAAAGGCGCTATGACCACTGAGCATGCCAACAAGGCAAACTCATAAAATCGTCTCCTGTCCCAGGTCACTGAAAGGGAGATACTCGCAGCCGAGCTCTCGTCCCACTCCCGCTGCCAACTTCGTGATAGAACGACCATGCGAAGGGATACGGATAGGCTGCCCTCCCACACTTAAGGCATTGTGTTACACCTTAAATGTCTGGATTTAGCGTTATTGTCAAGCATCTCATTCACTACTAAAAGAAAGGTATGGATATTCTGCTCGAAAGCTTGACGAAGAAGCGTAAGCAAAAAGCATATTTTAGGAAAGAGGTCCAGGTAGCTCAGCTGGTTACAGCTAATGAATGAAAAAACGTGTGTGCCGATTTAGATTTCCCGTCTTAAGCCCCACCTCGGTAGCTCAGCGGTAGAGCGGCCTCTTGTATAGTTCAACAGGTAGTCGGACGTGGGTTCAAATCCCGCTCGAGGGAAAAAACAGAGAGAGCAGCGAAGGGGCCTTTCCTCGCTTCTGTCTTTTTTTTTATAGATCAGTTCAGTCTGTAAACAAGCAGGTGATTTTTAGCCGGGAAACTGTAAACTTTCGAAAGCAAGCTCACCCACTCTCCCCCAGTGGTTAAACTCTAGGATCTGATTTGAATTCCATATTAAAGAAAAGTAGACATCTGCGGCCTAAAACTACACGAGTGGATAGATTTACGGCTACTACTTCCCGATCTTTGTGAACGTTCACTTCAATAGGATATCTCGTTTTACTAGCTCGACTATAGAGAGAGGAACTAATGGTAACGAGCCAGACCAGATGATCTTCAAAGACATCCTTCACCGATCGATTAGATGAGAGAGGTCATTCAGTGTAAGACCTGAGGTAGACGAACGGTTCACTGTCAGTGGTTCCATACGTCAATCCCATCCTGAAGGAGCTAATGAAAGCCTGAATTCAATATGAAAGTGGGCTCTTCCTCTTCGATTCAAGCAAGTCGACCATTGAATCTATTAAACGGGGCCGCTTCTTCCCCCTCCGCAGGAAGACTTCCTTCTTTCCCTTGCCTGGCTGGTTATCTCAAACCGGCATTCGAACCCACAAAGCCTAGCCGCACCGCCATTGTGCTATTAGCCCTACGCCTAGAAAGCCTCAGTTACAGACTGAACTTACCTATAGGAGGAGGTTTGATTCCATTGCCATTTACTGTTCCATGCGATCTTTACACCGACACCCCCATCTATCCAAGCCTAGTAAAAGGAGAATCAGCTGAAAGAAGAGAGAGCCCCCTTCCCGTTGTTGTCTCTAACTAAACCACCACCAGTACACTCTTCCACTACAGATGCTGAAAACCCGATTCCTTCCCAGGCTTTTCTCTTCTCCCTGACTTGCTAGTACTCAACCTAGAGATGAAAGAAGTAAGAGCCCCCTCTTGTCGCAAAATAGTAAATTAGGTTCAGTTGGAAAAACAGCTATAAATGACCACTACGAACGAAGGATGCAAGTCCTCTCAACAAACTCCATATCTGCAGAAAAAATGCCACTATTCTCAATTCAATATAGTAAGGCGTTTCTAATCTTCCTCGCAGCAAGACTTCTGAAAGCCAGTTGCTAAGAAAAAGATTAGAACAAGAGGGCTCTGGCGATTTCGGAACTAGCTTGACTCATTCCACCCGGGGTGAACGAGAACTAGTTCATCACCAACAAGCTTAACTCCTAGGACTTTTGGGATTTAATACTCTTACTCTTTTTTACCAAAAGATGGTGAAGAGAGGAGCTAGATAGAAGTAGTTTTTAATGAGGAGAGGGAAATCTGGCCATTAGTTAAGTCATTTTTTGTTTGGTCATAAGTTGGTTAGAGAAAAGTAATTAGTTCAGTTTTAGGCATACACTAATAGTAGGTTACGATTCAAAAGAAAGAGAGATTCAAGCCAATCGACCGGCTAAGAGGACTATTCAAATTCTAAAGTAGATGTTCATGCTCATATAGCTGCAAAATGACACTTGACCTATTTCCCTTATAGACAGACATGGAAATTAGAAAGTGTCTATCTTTTTATAGCTGTCAAATGAGACTTTCACTTTTCCCTTCGTAGAGCAGATCATGAATTGAAAAAGTTCTATCTGGGCAAAATGCTAATTTTTTATAGATTTCCGGGCACCAATCCCGACTTCTCCCGTTGCTATAGTATAATAAGAGATAGGCGCCTACCTTAAAGTCACCTATCGACACTCAAGCCTGTTCATCCTGCTTTCTTTCCTTTATAAGACTGGAAGAGATAGAAGGCTCTCCTGTCTTTGCCCATTGATAGATATGCCTGAAGTACCGGAACTCTCTCCCTTAGGGCTCTCTTTCCGTAAGCCGGTGAGGAGTGAGGGATCTACTGAGACTGAGCCATCTTCGCTAGCCGATCTGTCAGTTCTATAGGGTATGAAGCTCTTTCCTAGTATTGGGTTCAGGAATTCATGCTCGCAGGTAAAGAGACTAAAGAAACAAGAACATAAACAGTCTCTTGAAAGAGGGGAGCATTTGCCCACTCTGTGGTACATGAGCTCCTCGTCCAACTTACTGTCTTCCGATTTCATATCAGTTACAAGCTTGTCATTTCAATCACTTGCTACCTTTAAAGGAAAGCAGTTCGCCCATTGAATCGATTAATCTAAGTCCCCTTCCTATAGAGTGAACGTGAAAGCCGGTCTATAGTCCACCATGCTAATGGAATGTCAGTGACACAAGTAGTAAATTCATTCGTTGACAGGAGCGAGCAGAAAGAGAGAGCGTAAAGAGGGTCTTATCATGATGGCCTGCTTTCCTTTCTCCTGTTGCAGTAGACTACAGTCTTACCACTAGAATAGAAAATAGGTCCAAAAGCAGGAAGCACAGTCAGGAAGGTAAGTTAGAACTCTTTTCTGAATTCCTATCTATAAAGTCAGGCTTGTCTATACAATACAACAAAGTGAGGTAAAATCATTAGTTAGGCTAGTGGGAAAAAATTACTCTGTTTCCGTCTTTTGAAAGAAGTAAGGTGTTCTTCCTTCATCCTCCATCCACACTACGAGGGCCGGCCGGAATATGTTTGGCTGTTCAATAGCCAATTCCATTTCGGTTCATTTTGGTATGCTGGGAAGATGAAGAGATGAACTTTAGAATTCAGTTACAGAGAAATTCAGCAAGAAGCTTTCGGGTTGGAAAGGTGCCCGCCCTCTTAGGTCAAGCTGGTAAGGCCTTGTTTTTAATGAAATCCACTCTTCAAAGCTTGCCTTTATTCCCTCCTTGTCCGGGGTCCCGAAAGGAATGGCTGGTAGGATTGAAGGAATTCGGACGAAATGTCCACGGTCTGGTGTTGGAGGGAGAGACAGAATTCATCTCATCGCATGGGAGAAGGCTCTCCGAAGCTTCGATTTGGAGGCTTGGGCTGGAGCTCTAGCTAGTTGGACTAGAAGCTAGTTATTCCGGTCTACTTGTTGGGCAGGCCGGCCCTCCTTCATCCCTTCGTTCCAATCCATCCAGACTACTATGGCAACCCGTACTAATTGCCCTTGCACTGATACCGGTAAGGGGAGCGTCGGCCAGAAGATAAGGGGAAAAATCGCACAGACTTCTATACAGGGGAAGGACCTTATAATTATAAGAAAGGAAAGATTTCAAAAAGCAGATTAGGTACTTCCAACAGGAGAATAAGAAAGGAAGAAATAAGAGTGGAGAAAAAGGGAAATGGAATTCTTCACAAAGGGAGGGAACGCAAGGGGGACAGCACTAAGAAATCGGAAAAGGGGTCAAAGGAAGGGACACATCTTGATAGGGCAACAACCGGGTATAGGATATGGAAAGAGATCAACATGTTTTCTCGAACGAACAGATTTACACCGTCAATGACAGCGCACCAAGGGAACAACGGACAATCACGGCAAAGGCAAGCACGAATGCTTCTGCCTACGAGACCCATCCAGGGGAATCTTACACTGCGCGCAGAGAACCCCTCTCACTTTAGACAGAGAGGGAATGACGATGGGTAGCCAAACCGTGAGGCGAAGAACTCAACCGCTATACACGAGGGAGCAAGTGGAAAGAGTAGAGCAGCACCTTGCCGTAGAGAGGGTCCTAGAAAGGTTAAGAGTTCTGCACCGGTTGGAGTGGAATAGGAATCTAAAACAGAATTCGAGCAATTGGCTTTAACGAACCTATTTCATTAGAATGATCGAAGAACCCGCTTATCTATAGAAAGAGGGAGAGAGAATGAGAAATCACTCGACTGTTAAGGAGAGGAGGGGAGAGTTCGACCGCCCTAAGCCAACCAGAACGGCAAAGAAGAGTTATATTCGGCGACCGGTAGGGAGAGGAGAGGATGGGAGGAGAGAACGTCGACCATAAGGGAGACAGCAGTTACTTCGATGTGAGCAGAGTGCCCATTTCCTTACTTAGACTAACCTTCGTTTAGAAAGTCTCTCCCCTCGCTCTGACTCTTCCCATACTAAGACTTTTGTTGATCTACCTTTGACTTACTTCCTATCTCTACCCTTGATCCAAGGTAGCCGAAGGAGGGATTTTTACTAAGCTTTGCTGAAAAAAGTTGCAAACTTAAGTTCCGAAACTTTAGTCTTAACTTCGTTTAGTCAGAAGAACTTAGAACGGCGGTAGCAGGGCGAAAGGCAAGGTCACATCCTGCCGTCATAGCTTGCCTCCCATTGCTTCGTACGAGACAGAGAAAAAAAAAGAAATATAAAAAGAAAAATGGAAATAGTGAATCAAGATATATACTATCCTCTATCTGGATAGATAGGCCCCTATGAGCGACTATGCTGATCTTTAGATGTTTTGGCCACGTGCGTTTCCGCTAAGAAGAAGAAGGTTTGGATCTTTAAACCTTAAGAGGATGCTATCGAATGTGCTCTTGGCGCACGTGAGGGATGTGACCTATGTTAGGTCCATAAGATAGCACAGCTTTTAGTGTTCTATGATTCACCTCCGAATAATGAGTAGATAGGGAAGAGCTTTTTATTTTTCTCTTCATAGAAGACTGATGGGTGGAGCAAGAGGTCAAATTACTATAGAAAGAAGAGTTGTAAACTATAGGACTTCTTTTTCTAGTAGTAAGATTTAGGGTTTTTTCGTTCCTTCTCTTCGATAAGAATATCGATTTGAAATGATAAAAATGCCTCTTTATTCTCTTGTGCTCGGCGAAAGAACTGCCTAAGCATACTTTTTCGGATCCAAACTTCTTTGTTCTTTCTAAGTCTTCGTCTTGCATAGAAGAACGCAACTGTTGCAAAAACGGGTCTTTCAGTAGTAGGCGGCATCCCCTCTTAGTTTTAAGTAAGCGGAACCATTCCGTTTTGGTTCTTCTCCACATTCTTACCGGGCTATCCAGGAATTTTCCTATGATTTTAGAAACTGAAATTTCGATATAGAAGGATCTCCTTATTTCTGAATAGATTAGAGTATCATTTTCTTTAAAAGATATGAAATCACCTTGGGAAACTTGAAAAGAAGTAATGCTGACTATTACATTATTAACAAAAAGCCTTCGATGACTTATCGGCTGCCTTGCTTGAGGAAGAGTTTCACTAAAATGGAGACGAACCGGAATAACGTCCGATCTTGTTTCTGGATTGAGTGGAAAAGAGATATATGAAGTTCGTTCTGTTCCTCTATGCATCTCTGTGATGGGTAAATCTCCATGAAAAAGGGGCAACTTTCGTGTAGTTTGTAATTGGATGTAACTATTCAGATTTTTTCGAGAATAAATCATTCTCTTAATAGATCTCGTCTTGTTCCTCAATCTTCGAAGAATGCGGCGTTGTATTATTGTAAGTTTCCTGTTCCAAACATTTCCTTCAAGTAGACGACAAGTTTTAAATCTTAATGCGGGCATTCCTCCCTTACATGCATTTGCTTGCAACAGATTCTTACTAAGACCCCATAGACACGGTCTCGGTATCTTCACTGTTGCCCCTCTTCTCAAAGGCCTTCGAGAGGAAGATGAATGTCAATGTGCCATTTTCTTCTTTCCCCTACTATTTACTCTTCTCCTTCACTGCACACTTTAGATAGATGTTTCCATCCAATCAAAGACGGCGAAGCGCCTCTAATCTAAAGGCCAAAGAGTGCTTTTTGCGCTACTACGCATCCTTACTCATAGTATAGTGCAAGTTAGGTTTGGGTATAGCAGGACTTGAACCTGCGACCACTAGGTTAAAAGCCCAATGCTCTACCAACTGAGCTATACACCCCAAAAAAGATGTAGTAGTAAATAAGGATTGGTGAGGAAAAGAAAAGAGGGCGGCCCCTCTTCATCATATTAAAGGGGCGCGGCTTTGTATGAGGCTCGTACTGCAGAGCAAGCGAAGAAAACGTAAGGGCGCGCGCTAGCACTCCTGCAAGAAAACGGCCTAGCTAACGCGCCCCTTATTGAAAAGTCAAGGATATTGAATGATCGATATGAGAAAGAAGCGCTCAAGCATTCGAAGAAAGCCGGCCTTACTCAACAAGCACCTTTCTTAGCTTAGTAAGGTTGCTTGTTTCCACTCATTGAAGATTCTATCTACAAAAAAAGGTCAACGGGGGGTACTAAAATGACTCTCACTGACACCATCTACGAGAAGGTGAGGTCGTCTTTATTTCCAGCCGCCATACGGTTCGCCTTAAAGCCTTAAAGACGGAGAAGGGGAGGAGCAGTTATCTATGTAATTACGGTCTTTGTTGGCCGGGGCGAGCACTCTCTTTTCTTTGTAAAATTTCATCTTACCAAACAAGACTGACTTCTTACCAACCCGCGAAGGGTTGTGAGGCTGGACCAGGTACGAAGAATGAATCTATATCTGTGCACGGAAGGGCCGGCGGCCGCTCAACTGTTCGAGCGCAATGCAGTGGTATTGGTTCCGATTCGACAAAGGTAGAATGTCTGGTCGAAGGTTCAGTACAGTAGGTAGCAGGCGTGTTCGTTTTGGCTCCCGAGCGAGAACGAGAAAGAGGCGACGCACCATCCTTGCTGCTACGTACGTTGACCTTGACTTGACAGATTCATCCAATTGAACCCAAACTCAAAGGAGGACCACAAGCTCGGGGCTCGACGAAAGAGAAAGTCTCGGCATTAAGAAAATGGGGTTAGCTGTGAAAGAGGCATTCATTTTTTCATGAATATTCATAGCTGAGTCTACTAAAAGAGGGACCAGCTCATCGTAGTGATTAGAGGACACCTCTGATCGTTCACCTCTAATGTGACACGTTCCCTCCTAGTTTGATCAACGGGATCAGTCGGCTAGAGAGCGGGGCTATTCTTCTTCCGAGGAGACAAAGTAGTCTCTTGTACTGACCGAACCCTCAATTCGGAGGTCTTCATCAACATGTTACGAAGCTCTAGTCCGGCGGTCAACTTGATGCGGGAGAGGCATGAGTGCAGTTCGATCTTGTGGTGTATTCCTTTGTAGTGAGTAGGGCCTCTTTCTCGTTGATCAGTTCGCCTCCGCTCTATTGAAAGGTCTCCATTCCTACGGCGGTTTTGTCAATGAACCCGTGGATAAGTAGGCCTTTCTTGCAGACCGATCTTCTGCCGAGTTCCATCCTTCGTAGTCAAATCTGATGATACGCTTTGTCGATGTTACCTACCAAAGAAAAGGCCTGCTAGGTGATCGAAATCGCTCAGGTTAGCGAGGACTCACTCACCTACTCTTTATCTAATACTTTCTTCTATCTACTGAATTAAAAAGGCGACCCGCCGCGCTGGGCTATAAGATAAGAGACAGCTGTTGTACTACTTGACTGGTAAGAAAGAGCTTCTGTAAGAACTGGAAGACTCTTGTATGTACGGTAACCCTATCTTCTGCTACTGGTGGACTGTTGCACATAAAGGCCGACAGAAGCAACCTTTCTTAGCGCGCTTTTCAAGCGCTTAGCTTCTGCTATAAAAAGGCGGCAAGGCCATAAAGTAAGTGAAGTTGCAAGCCTAAGCCAAGAAGGTACGAACGAAGTGACGGGCCCTTTTAGAGAGAGGGGGCGGCTTTCTTGTGGTAGTCATTGCGAACATCTCTCCTCTTCTCTTAGCGTGCACAGTTTGCTTACGCCTTAGGCACATCTATCTTTCTTAGTTTCACGTTGGCCTAATGAATTGAATATGAATAAAAGTCAGTCTTTTAGTAAGCGTATATAAGCAGCTGTTTAGTGTATAAGCAATTCTTTAGTGGTCGCACCGGTATGATGGAGGTTGGTTGAAGATGATGTTATGCGGCGTTCAGAACCAGTCTTGAAGTGAATGAATTAGAAAGAACGAAGAAGTAAGGAAATGAGACGAATCTTTCTTGAACTATATTATAAACAGACCTTCCCCTCCACACCAATCACGAGTTTTTCTCCATTCCTCTCATATATCGTCGTAACGCCCTTAATGCTAGGTTTTGAAAAAGACTTTTCATGTCATTCCCATTTAGGTCCGATTCGGATCCCACCGTTGTTTCCTTTTCCTTCCGCACCTTTTCCTCGAAATGAGAAAGAAGATGGTACACTTGAATTGTATTATTTAAGTGCTTATTGCTTGCCAAAAATCCTACTTCTACAATTGGTAGGTCACCGGGTTATTCAAATAATTCGTGTTTTCCGTGGTTTTCCCATGTTACAACTTCCGTACCAATTCGGTCGATCCGGAATGGATCGGTTAAACATTCCATTAGGGAGCTTGGTCTTGACTTTTCTGTGTGGTATTCATTCTCGTTCGGCTCTTGGAATCACATCCAGCAGTGGTGGGAACAGCTCGCAAAATCCAACCACTTCACGTACTTCATTGCCCCCAACCCTTTCTCGTACCTCTATTGAAACAGAATGGTTTCATGTTCTTTCATCGATTGGTTATTCCTTTCCGTTCGTATCTCTTTCTCCAATTTCGGTCTCGATTAGTTCACAAGATTGAATGGCCAATTCTCCTCCGGACCCTCGATTCGATTGTTTTCCAAGAATGTTGAGCCGGGTATGTAAGCCATGTATCTGGGAGGAACTTAAAAGAAGGGCTTTCGGTTTTTTTCACCCCGTTTTGTGGTCTTGCAGCTATTTAAATAAATAAGAATATAAAATTATATATATATATATAATAAGACTTTTTTAGAAGAAAGATTCTATATATGTCCAATCCCCGGTGGTGGTGGGACCAACCAAGATGTATGTCGTCCAACCCAACCTCAGACTCTTTCTTCCCGACCTATTTGACTCTCTGGTCGTAGTTATAGTTATTTAGGTGGTATCCCGAGATTGAAGAGATCGAATTCCTCCAGGGAACACACGAAACAAAGATATGAACTGGGTAAATAGAAATGGAAAAGAGATGTTTCCAATTCATCAAAATGAGAAGCTTTTTCTACATCCATATGATCTACTAAAGTAGATCGGTATTGCCCATATAATAAAAGCAGATCTTGGTCCATGGAATCCCAAGAAGGTAAGAACTCCAACCTGTCTGATGCTTCTTCGGCCAAATACGATATACAAGTGGGACCTGCACTATGCGCAAGCTATGCGAAAAACCGCTTCTTTTTTCCGGTTCTGAAACAACTTGGGCGAAATAGGGTTCTACTGGGAAACCATGGATTTTTTAGTTTTCGCCATTGGTTACTGGTTGAGCCACTGGAATGGAATGAGATAAGAATCTCTGGAGATCTTTCCTCTCCACTTACTCGTAACAAGCTTTCCCTATGTAGAAGACTTCTTCCGAATGGCATAATTGGGAGATTGATTCCTCGATCTTCAAAGAAAACTGACTCCTCCTACTCCTTCTTCTCCTTTAGGATAGGATCGTCGTTGGTCCTTCTTTCACTAATGATCTAATGATCTCACCATTTTCTAGTAGTTCTCGCGAACGCGCGAGGGACAATCCTTTCTATCGCTTGCCCTTTCTTTTCACTCTCAAGACAAGGCTCTCTCTCTTTTATAAAGCGAAGCAAAGCGCATGGCACTGAAAGCTCAATAAACACAGACGAACACGATGCAGGGCATAGCATAAATGAAACCGCTGATCATTTCATAAAACATATATGCTTGACCTTTCTCGATGCTTTTTTTGGGTGACTCACCAACCGACCCAGCAGTGATCGATGACAGAATGGTACGAACAAATCAAAGTCATTGGATTTGGTAGTTCTCCATGGACTTCTCTCTTTAGCCCTTTGTATATGTTCATAAATGGGTGTGCACCTCCAGATGGGCGGGGGCCAGCCTCCCACTCTCTTATCTTATGCAGCATTTATTAGCGGTTGGTGGATCGTGCAATAAGCCTCTCTCGACCCTCCGTTTCTCATACGTCTTTATGAAAGCCTCTCGCCTTTCGAGATCCGGTCCATCATCAACTCAGTCAGATCTTCTTGTTTGCCCGCTTTGATTAGGCTTCCTTTAACGGATTTGATCGACATTTCGTGCCTGCAGTCCTGCTGAATTGGACCTTTTATCAAGGTAGCGTAGTAAGGTTAGAGGCGCAACTAGAAGAGTAGGCCCTATTTCTCTTTTTTGATCAATTCGATTGCAGTCTCCGAAGTCCTTCTTGATCGATGGTCCCCATTAGCATTACTGCTAATTAGCAGCCGCTTTTTTTGGAAGGCGAGATACTTATGTGTGACCGCGGATTCCACGGTAGCAGTAGTTCTAGCTCTACATTAGGAGCAGGGGGCTCTATCTAAAGGAGGTACGGACCCCTCCCATAGTACGGTACGATGCAGCTGAAAAACTTAATAGGCTACCGCGGCTCGCTTCGCTTTTGTTGCGGAGCTCACTGCTTTTGGAGTAGTGCTTGCAGCTTGCTGCTTTCGACCGGTCTATCAAATACTATCACATAATCATGATCTGTCTAGCATAGCTGGGTACTAATCTACCCCTTCGGCCCTATCGGACGGTAACGTGGGGACTATCTCCCCCTACTACTACCACATAATATCATATCATGCTAGCACATAAAACATAACAGGTAGCAGCAAACCTAAATGAATATCACAAAGACAATCATCTAACATACAACACCTACTAGTGGGCCGGCATTGTGGTCGTAGACCCACTGCTACTGGAAGGTAACTCACCTCAATGCCGCGTAGTGTCTGCACTGATCTTGATGTGGAAATCGACTCTCTCCGACTCCTCAATCCCTACATGACAACTCTTCCAAGTTATCAACTCATACTCATACTCATAACCCTTACAAGGGTCAAACCAATCCCAATCAATGTCCAAGTCAAATCCATGGTCAAAGTCAACTTTGGTCAAAGTCAACATCTGGTTGACTCGACTCGCTGAGTTGGCCCGCCAACTCGTCGAGTCCCCTTAACCACAAAATGTCATCAACCCGTCCCGACCCGTCGAGTCTAGCAAGAGCTCGACGAGTTTGCCTTCAACAACACATCGGACAATCTTCAACCGACTCGGCGAGTTCGTTCTTGAACTCGCCGAGTTCATCTTCATCCATAAGAAGATGTTCAGTCTATGACTCGCCGAGTTCCTCTTGAACTCGCCGAGTCCGTCTTCATAAGTTGAGAGATTGCCTTGGACTCGCCGAGTCTGTTCATACAGTCGTCGAGTCCCATGGTTCCCAGGTCCAAAACAAACCCCTATCAGGCTGAGTGTTCCTTCCACTCAACCAAAATCATTTCCAGAAGACGTTTTGGGAAAAAAGCGTCCCGACTCGCCGAGTCACCCAAGTGACTCGCCGAGTCCCTCTTTGTCCAAAGCTATACAGTCGATTTCAGTGGGACTTAAAGCATCCCAATCATAGATCTGACCTCCTAGGGTCCCTTTCATACGTAAAGCTATGAACTTGATGTCCATGCATGGGGTTTTTGGCTCAAAAGGCTATAAAATGGGGTTTATATGATGCATGGGCTTCCCACGGCCATAAAGTTGGCACCTTTATGCCATGGGAACCCTCAATGGTTCCAGATCTGAAGCACAAACCCACATATACAAGCAAATCTGAGCATAGCCTCTCAAAAGCTTAGAAAAGGTAGAAAATAGCCCCAAAACAAGATCTAGGAGATAGATGGTCAAGGTTCAAGCTTTTTACCTTGAATGGACTGAGAATGAAGCAAAACCTCTGGATCTACTAGCTTCCTCTTGATCTCCTAAGCTCTCTTCTTCTCCTTCAACTTCTAACACACACAAAAAGCATAAAAGAGCTCAAAATCACTCAAAAATGGTTTAGGGTTTCAAACTAGGGTTTCTCTGAGTTGGGAGGGTGATGGAGGCTGGTTTGGGACGAGATAAAGTGTTTAAATTGGGTGCAAACCCTAAACATTAGGGTTTTGTCCAGACAACTCCTACTCGTCGAGTCGGTCTTCCGACTCGTCGAGTAGGTCACTTAAACCCCCGATCGTCAGTCGAGTCTACTCGACGAGTTGAGCCTCCAACTCGCCGAGTCCCAGAGTAAATTGCAACATTTCATGAAATTAAATACGTACCAGGAATCGGGTGCTACAGACTATTTTACAAAGTTACAAGTTATTTACCAAAAGGTTTCACTTATTACTTGTAAACTCGTTGAAGAAATTTGTGAGACGTCTTCACGTCCTTACCTAAGTACCAACCAAGTCCTGACCTAATAACCAGATTCTCCTGAAGGGAGAGCGTGAGTTTGTGTATAGATCTATTAGGGACTGACAATCCCGCACCCTGACTATTAGCTACAGTTGGAACAAAAGTTCTGGGGTGACAAATGTCATTAACGATTCTGACGTCTGAAGAACATCGTATCAGGCCATCCGTCATATTAGTATTGTTATAAGAACTCACATGGAGAAAACAACGACACTTTTATGTAGTAATATACTTTCTAAACAGTCTTAAGGGGGTATTAACTCTGTGATTACGTAGCATATACATCGGGGTTATATAAAATTAATGTCCGGTAGACAGTGGAATGTGTGATTTCTGCCTCATTTCCTATTCCTTGTTTGGTTGTGGGCTTAGGGCAGATTCACCCATTCGACTGTGTGTTCGATCTCGATTATATACAACTCGTATATACTAAGTGATCATAGGAGGGTATTAACATCGCATCTGGTTTACAGAGAAAACACATCTTCAACTAGATTTATTTATAAACAAAATTAGGCATCAACAAACTATGTATGGCAATTTTGCTTGTGCCTTTTGGTCTAGGAACGTTTAAGACTACAATTCGGTTTTATGGAAAATATAGGATTTTCCAGGATAAACATCATTATTTTAAAGCAAACTGTTTACAATTCAACTTTTTAGAAACAAATATGACTACTTACCGAAAACAATACCTTACATTAGAGTGATGGAACTAAGAACATATTTACAAAAGGTTCAACACTTATTTACAAAATAGTATAACATAAAGGACTCTTAATTGTAAAATCTATGGTTTCTTAATTTATACATCAGAGTTATTTATAAATAATATCCGACAGGTAGTGGAATTTGTGATTTCCGCCTTATTTCCTGTTCCTTGTTTGGTTGTGGGCTTAGGGCAGATCCACACATTCAACTGTCTATTCGATATTAGTTTATACATAGCTAGTATAAACTAAGTGATCATAGCAGGATCTAGTATGGGTCACATTTCTTACATTCCATTTTACTAAGAAAATATAGGATTTTCTGAAGGAACACACAAACATTTTCAAGGAACAAGAACTTATTTTCTAAAACAAAATACTTATGAACTCACCAACTTTAATGTTGACACTTTCAAAATCACTTGTATTCTCAGGAAACTAGTAGATAGGTATACGCACGGGTTTCGAGAAGATAGAGCATAGTAGCTTCAAGTCTTTGTTTTACTATTTACTTTTAGAGTCAATCATTTATGAAATAAATACAATGTAAACTCTATATTATTAATACATTGGTTGTTGTTGCTTTGATTACTATTATACAATCGTTTTATTACTTTATATGACGTCCTCCGCCCCC